CCATCAATACATTCAATTGTATGATATGGAGATGATAGAATTAATGAATTTATATTAAATGCATTTGGTTTAGAATCTTTTATAGAAATCGCATGATTATCTAATGTAAAAGGACGAATATCGATTTGTAGGCCTTTTTCTTTGATTTTGTTTATTTCTTGTTTAATATCGTAAATTGTTGATTTTAAAGATTCAAGATTTTTTTGAGTAAATTTTTCCTTATGAATTGAATCAATAATTGTTGTTTGTGTTTGATTAATTTCTTTTCGGTAGTGATCAATTTTTTTATTGAAAAATCGTTCAAGTTCTTGACATTTTTGTTCATAATAACAATTGATAATTTTATGACAATCATCTTTCCATTTCTCGAGTATTTCACGACTATCTTTAATCAATTTGTCTATGTCAAATGTCTTAAATTGATCATTGAGTATAATGGTTTCATCATTTAAAGAATTTAATTCAGATTTTCTTAAATCATTATGCTCTTTCATATGATCAATACAGACATTTTTATTACAACAACGACATAAAGCAGATGATTTGTACTTACATGTTGGAATAGCACATAACTGGGACATTATTTTAACGAGAAGAAAAAAACGTGCAAATGTATAACTAATAAAAGAATAGCGAAGTATTTTATCATTTTACAAACATGACTGTTATCTTTTATATATCAATGATACATAATTGTTTCGTTCTTTGAAATGAAAATAAGATGAATAACGATATAATTTTTATTTTAAACTTGGTTTTTGATAGGTAGAAGTAGAGAAACAATTCTTTTAAAAGTTAAATAAGAAAAAAACAAGCAAATTGTTTATTGTACTTTTTTTCTATTGACTATGATTGTATTGATTTTTTGTTAAATTCATTGGAATTAAAGAATATACTATAGCGATCAACAGAAAAAGGAAATTGAAATATTACAACCAGAGATTAGCAAAGGACAAGTTTACCTGCTCTATTCTGCTGCCTAATTCTGTCCTGATGAGCGACAGAACAGAACATTATTTGTAGCTTTATCCTCTTTTGCAGGACAATAAGAATCTTTATATTAACTTTTGATCACCAAAGTAAATATTACTTTATTAATTATCCTATAGCTAATCTGTTTCAAATCTTTTTTAAATATAACAACTAAAATCTTTAAGAATAGCTAATATTATAAATAGAAAAAGTATAGAAATATCTCGAGTTATTATACTAATGATGTGTTCATCACAGGAAGTAAATATGTAGAAAATACGAACTATTCTGGTTTTAAGATTATTATCTTTATACAGCGGGAATGCTATCAATAAAGCAAATAGAACAATCAAAAAAGTACTTGATGGCAAAAATGTCACAAAGAAAAATAAAACGATCTACAAAATCAAAACCAAGCAAATGCTTTATTTTTTTATATTTTTTACATTGTCCTAATTAATAAAATGTTATTCAGATGTTCAGAATTAAGACTAGTTCTTCATTCTTGTATGATTAAACTGGCTTCTGAGAACTGTGTTGCTATACTAACTAATTCAGCAAACATTGAATGAAAAGATCGAACATATCGAGAAAGTACGGGGAAATTTGTCTTGAAGCTTCTTCCAAAATGGCAAAGAATTAGATTTTAGTTTTGATTTGCCAATAGCAAAACTATTTGATTCTAATCAACTAAATAAGTCTTTTTTTATATTTCTGATGTAATGATTTATCCCTTGGTTGTTGACTTGAGTCAAAGGTTAGCAAAGGATAATTTTTTCTGTCCTATCTTGATGTCTTACTCTGTCGTGACGAATGACAGAACAAAACGAAAATTTTAGCGTCGTCGGGTCCTATAAGACAGAGCAGGATAGAACATCAGGACCATCTTGTTTTATGTCGAGCTCTGATTACAATATAAATTATCGTCTTACTTGATCTGTGATAACACTTCAGTATCACATCGATTTTCGTTACGAAATAATTTTTAGAGTAGCAAAGTTTCTTCAATAGTCTGAGGCTTTTTTCGTTGTTTCAAACTTAGTGATGCACTTCTTTTGTTTTCAATTCTGTGAAGTAAAATACTTTGTATGAATTGTCTTCTAAATTTTCTTTTTTGGAATTTCATTGTAGTACAGTGTACAAAAACAGATGAAAGGTACTAGAGATCGTTTTTAGTGTGCAATCATAATATATGTGACTGCTATTCGTAAAGAAACATTCGTGCTGAATAGAGACAAATAGATGTTTGACGATGAAAAGTCTCATCTAAAATTTCATAGATTTGACATGACATTTTAAAATATAAGTGAATAATTATACATATGGATCAGAAGAATCATTTGCAAATCTTGTTCTTTCTTAAATACTTCCACAGAAAAAATACTTTGACTATTATATATTTGATTAACCTTTTATTTTGTTTACAATAAGTGTTCTATTTCAACAATAAAGATCATCAATTTTTTTTATATCATTTATTGTTAATTTAAATTAACTTTTTCATACGCATACAAATTTGAGAATGTAAGTTGAATTCAATGACGATGACATTTACTTGACTATGGATCAAATAAAACATGTTTCTTTTTTGCGTTTTTACGTGTAATTATCATGAGAAATAATAACAATATAATATTGTTTAATTTTCAAGTGAATATGAGTTTTCTATCATGTCCATGGCAAACAATTATATTTTCGAAATTCAATATCTTAACAAAAGAGCATTGTTTTCGGCTGAAACCTTTAAGGTATTCTACGAATCACTCGATCTATATATTCATCAAATTTCATATCGAAATTCTGTTCCTTGATTTTTCGATATCTATCTAAAGTTGGATCACAAATTCAGTGAAGCCATCTTAACGTAACTTCAAAGGTACATGAGAACGAACTTTTTTAGACTTTTCCTAGTCTTATTGAGGCGTTCTTATGGTTTCAATATGAGTTCAAACATCATGTTTCAGTTTGGACAGTTCCTTCGTGAACAATGTTAATAATGACATTTCACTTTATTACCGATACAAAAGAGTGGTTAAATTAGAACAAAACAAAATCAGTAAGACTATTATCTTCATATTATTTTGAAAAGAAGATATGTGAGATTTAAGCAACATTCAAAACCGTTTTGAAATACTTTAATTCTGATCTATTCGGCAATAGGTTTAAACGAGAAAGTGTTCTTAGTTTTTCACATTTAATTAGTTTAGACTTCTCATTAAATGCCCTTAGAAATATATCTCTTATTCTGAACTATTATAATGACAAAAATATAATAAATTAAAAGAGATAATCAAAAAGAAGACAACAAATCTGCATAGAGTATCTTTTATGAATTTCCAAAACCTTGTTTAAGTTTCTGCTATTGAGCATGCATTGGATAATGGAAATAATGAAGGTGCTAGAGTTTATGCAGACGATAGAGATATATAAATTAATAGAGGTAATTGACATATAGAATATGGTGGAGGTTGGAGACATAATCTCAGGGCGACAATGGATATCTAAGAGGTAATGGAGATATTCTATGCAACGCAGACATTAGTGCTTCTTTATATAGTAAAGGTCTACAAAAAAAAAGGTTATACAATTCTATCGGTGAAAGTGTATTATCCAAAGTATTAACAAAGCCGAGCGGCTAACGAGATGTACCAAAAACCTTCGAAAATGTTCCAACACCTTCATAAATCTGGTGTGACTGCTGATGTCACAACATCTTGGTACCACGATCTGTACATATATCAAAGGCATCTCGTCAGTTGAGAATGGCATAGAATCCATTTTCTTCTATACCTTCCTTAAATCCATTGTTTGTAATATTTCCATAAGTTCCTATATCTGCATTATATCACGTATCTTCATTATGTATACATGATGTCCATTATGTCGTACGTCTTCATTATCACTATTATCTTTAATACCTATAGTACTTCCATGATCTTCTTTCATGTTTCAAAGCAGAAACTCGAGTAATTTTCTAAAAGTTCATCAAAATTTGCCCCAAAGTGCAATGGAATTTCTTGTAAATTCATAAAAAGCATCTAGTCCAATTTTGATAGTTAATATAAAAAACAGAGATAATGAATTTAGTTTTACAAGTTTTTATTTGATTAAAGAAACTCGTCTAGATTCCTAAGATTTTCAATTGATATGTAGGTAGCCTCAAGAAGTTATAGAATTCGTATGTGTATTCAGTTGAAATCCTTTCGATCTTTACATGTTCCTACATAGAGAAAAAGGTTCTTTAAACCTTTTATTATTAACTCTTTCAGTCCCATAGTAGCAAAAAAGCTACATATGTTTTATAATTATTGTTCACAACATAATTTATGAAAATTAATACCCAATGTCTTGAAATGAAATAATAAAGAATACTCTAGAATCCTTCCAGAACTATTTGTAAAGGAGATAAATAGTCGTTCATTGAAAGAGTTCTGATTGGTGGCCAAAGTTCACGGAAAAGAAGACGTATACCTATTCACTTTTTTGCCAAAAAGGAAAAATAAATTCAACAAACGTTGGAGAATAAATCTTCATCAGCTCAGTTATTAGCATATATGCCTATTACTAGGTCTAAAAGAAGATGCAGATATTGTAGTATGAGAGTTTCTCCAGTGTTTAGTAGATAAAATACAAATTTTGTGACATTCTCTTTGTGTAGAGAAAATAAAATTTGTTTTTTTATTATTTCATGAGAAACTTGTATAAGTTTTTACAGTAATAAACTTTAGCAATTAGAATTTCCATGTAAATATAAGAAAATTCAATAAAACGTATATGGAGTAAATGATATGAGAGCACAGGCGAGTTATTTATGTCTAAACTAAACAAGTCTCACGGTCTACTTGAATTGAATCCAACAGAAATAATTTGGGATTGAAAGGGTTAACATAAGTCAATTCTAAACCATTCTCTAGTTCAGAATACATCATTGAATACACAGATCAATGATTTCATCGCCCGGTATGTAAATTCCTGAATGGAAACAGTCCATGTTTCTCGATCTGAGTAGTTAACACTAAGACAACTGATAGAAAAATGAAATAAATGCTGTTTCAGATTTATTAATTCCCATGGTGCCAATGTTTAGTTTATGTGTATTTGAGTAACTGTTTAGAAACAATTTCTTTTTTTAAACAATAGTACTACACACGAAGAGTACTAGGTGTTGTTTCGTACTTCAATTATTGTTATTGTCTATTCGTCCTATTCTTATTAAAAAGCAAAAAAAAAAGAAACCATAGTTCTAGCTTAAATGAACATCGCGTATGCTTATGCAACAACAACGTTTTAAGAAAGGNAAGATCAAAAGATATTTCTTCGAGCATTTTTTTGTGCTTTACTCATGCTAATTACATAAGAACAGTAAGATAATCGGAAAAAAACAATGTTTTGCACATTTTTACACAGAGTCGTAATTTGCAACTATTCTATTCAATCTTTTAGCTACCTTGTACTTCTTCTATACTATAGTAAGCACATTTTCTTACAGTTTCTTTGAGAGGTGATTTCATTTTATTAGGAAAATGAAGAATAGATTGTAGTGTTACTAGTTTAGGCTTGTTCTATGAGGAACATCCAATATTTTTGTGTGTTCAGCATCAGAACAGAGAAAACTAGCTAGTCACTGAAACCATATAACTCAAGTATGGTAATTCACTCTAACGATTTCATTGTAGCAAACATTTGAATTGGAAATAGACTTATTAACGAAGTAAATAAAAAGTCGAAGCTAGCTGCTGTTAGACTTCCGATTTCAATTGTAACAGGACATTCTTTGGTTGAACGATCAAATCCATGTAGAAACTAATTATCGTCATTTTTGTTTTTGGACAGTTAATGCTAATAAATTGATCATTTCTCAATTGTCGGAAGACTTTAAAAACTCCGTTGTTTTTACATTTACTTGAGAATGAAGGTGTAAATGTGTACATTGTCATGAGTCAAAAGAAGATTCGTCCTACACCTCCCTCACCGTACAACATCAAAAAGAAAAGGAAACATCGGAGAAAAATCTTTAGAAACGAACGAACGAACGAAAGAAAGAAAATATCTGCATCCATAATGGATAAGACAACGTTAGTCTTGTAGAGTCTCGCAAGTCTAACAGCTTGATGTGAACGAAACGATTTTTTCTTCACTGAAAAAACAAGTGGGACAACGTATGTTTCACCGTCTTCAAAGGGTAAAAAGTAATATGTTCTTCTAACATCTCATCTAATAATTAAGATAGATATAGGACAAATTTTACATAATTAGATGATATGTTACGGATAGAATACTTTAACCATTATCTTTGTCAGGATTTCTAAATTACTAGAAACGGAAACTCTTGTTTATTATTACAGAAATATTTACGAATATCTTTAACACCGCATAAGAGAAAGACAATATAATCTTAATTCGCTACTCAAAGCAAAAAACAAAATGACCTTAGATAATAATTCTGTTATTTTGAGCTATATTTATATCGTAATATAAATGTTTAAATTATCTAACTATGTATTCCTCAAGTCTACTTTGTCCGAAAGCAAGTTACATAATAAGATAATCTTTTCTAATGACAGAAAAAAAATTTCCTATTTCCATAATATAATTATAGAATCAGCATATATATTTTTTTTACAAGTGAATTTCTTGTACAAAATTTATGTGATTTTTTTTAATTTAGTTTACAAATGAAACATCATATTATATAATATTAAGTCTTTTATCATTATATTCATTATCAATAGCATGTTTTTGTAAAACATTTTATCGTCGACCATATCCATTTTCCCATAAATTTTTACAATGTTCATGTGTTTTAATTCTTTATCTTTTTCAAATTTGGCCTATATTAAAAAATATTTTTTTTACTTTTATTTTATACAACAATAATCAAGAATTAATCAAATCAGAAGAAAAAGCTCTTTTTTGGCATTTAATACAAATTATATCATTTATGTTAAGTGGTCTCATTTTTGTCGGAAGAGTTCCTGAACGTTTTTGCCCCGGTTTATTTGATTTATTTGGTCAATCACATCATGCATTTCATCTTACTATTTTTCTAACGTCTTTTAGTCAAGCAAATGCTGTATTTGAAGATATGCTTTCTATATCATTAGATAATATTAAACATAATTTAATGAAAGATATTTTATATACTTTAGTTGTTCTTATTTTAGAATTAATTACAGTTGTTATATGGTTTCGAATAAGTCGACCGACTATTGAACGACGATACAAAATTGATTTCAAAAACGAATAATTATATAGTTTTAATACTTATTTATCTAATATTGTTGCTTTTATTTTCAATTTAGAATATTCCTTTCTATTATTATTATTAATATAAAGCGAATAGATTTTTTTTTTCTTATATCGGTTTTTTTTTCATTCCAAATAAAATATGATTTTATATGAACTTAAGTTAGAGAACCAAAAATAAAGATTTTTCATGAACGTTAATAACTACTGCTTTTGCAGTTGATTATTTTTTTTCAAGGAGAATCTATTGAGAAATTCGTTTCAACTCAATCATAAGCACCTCTAGAAAATGAATCGATTACTTTTTCAAGAAAACGATATTTGCTCTCACTGTTTCACATGAAAGATTTAAAACTTTTTGAACAGTTCGAATCAATTTTGCCTATAAAATGCCATGCGAATTCAAAAAAATTCATGTAAAATATAAGATAGTTTTTGATGGACAAAATAAATGAATCAATCATAAAATGTTTTTGTTTACAATCTCTTATAAATTCATGTTGATTCAATTCTAAAAATAAAATGTCCCAAACACAATTGGATAAAAAAAGTAATTTTCTTAATAATCTCTAATCCTAATATCAAATTTGTGTAAGTAGCTTACAAGTTATATTTTTTTTCAGAAGAACAACCAACCATCATTAATGTAAATTGATATTATCCTATAGAAATTTATTTCTAGATATACTGATGTAACTTTCTATATTCATCTAATCTTACTTATAAGATTTGATTAATTAAGTGTATAGAGATGAAAATAGCTTTTAATATACATAAATTTTTACTTATTAAAAATATTCCTTTCGGAAAATCATCAGAAAAATCTAGGTATTTAATGTTGATAGTGACTTCTTATATAATAAATGATAAGAAATAATATCAAGAAGAGTAGAAGTTATATTATTATTACTAGAACCATGCTAGAAGTAATGCGCGTGTACACCTTCGAGATTCACATGAATTTTTTGTTTGTTTTTGATATGATGCAAAAGAAAAATTGATCTGTTACCAAAACAGAAGTATAAAACAATATATTGTATGATGACTATGCTGTGTATTCACACACATCATTTTCAAGGAAGTTCTTTTGATACCATAATTAAATGACAAAAGCTGTGAATATCCGTTCTACAAGTTTTTGTTATGGAAGTAATGGAACATTTGTATTCAGCTTTTGAAAAAGCCAAATATTAATTATTTCAAATCATTGGTTCTATAATGAAAACGTAGCCTGAAGAAAAATTTAACAGAATAATTTTGAATCACTTTTTGCCTCTATTCATTTTTATTCAAATGGATTCTTACATTATCGATCAATGTTAATGACTAACTGATTATTTAGAATGTGATGAAACGCAGATTTTGATGCATCCATAAACGAATCCAAAAGAGATCGATATGTATCTTTACATCTTCTATTTAAGAGCTTATAGGGCGGCATTTATGACAACAACAAAAATATAACTTCTCAACGAAGAAAAGACGTTGTACTGACACTCTATACATGATTTTTTAGCACGTATACTGATTACTGATGTAGAACGATTGTCTTATGCAGCAGAAAAATTTAATAAATCGTTGAAACTTCAACACTGTGCTCACGATCGGAATATTCTCGACTTTGCTCAGTAGCTTTCAGCCATTTCGCATCAAACAGAACAACGAGTTGGTTGGAAGTCTCCAGATAATTCCGAGATATTTCTGCTTGAAACAGTATCTTTAAGTTTCATTGATTTCCACAGTTGTCTGCCGGAGACGGTCTGTCCTCCTTTACGTGCCTTTGAAGAGTTGATAATTTTCTCGGAGATATGCGTTTCGAAACTATGAAATTTATCAATAGTTTTACTCACATCCAGAGTGATTTATAAGCAACTTTATCTTCTAACTTTGTTAGAAAATTTTTCTCCATTCAGTCTTCTGCAAAATGAAATTAATAATATGTAAAGTGAAATAGAAGTATTTTGGTCAGAATTATAATACAATATTGCTGTGCGGTCATTTTTGCAACAATAGTAGTTTCGAAAGCCTTTATTAAAAAAATGCTAAGGAAAAAATGTTTTCCATAATCTTAGAAAAAAACTTGTAAACCTTGTTAGCCCTTAGAGTCCAATGTTAGCAAAGCTGCTACACATGTTTTCTGATTATTTTTCACAACATATTTTATGAAAATTAGTGCTTAACTCGCACATTTACAAAGATTTGCGTGTGGATAGAGTGTGAAACGAAATAAAAAATTTTTTTTTTGTCATTTCATGAAACATCTGTATAAGGTTTGTAATTAATAAACTTTAGAATTTTCCATTCAAAAACAACAAAATTCTATAAAACTTACATTGAGTAAATTATATGAATTTGAGAAACAGCTTCTTCGTGTGTAAAATGAGCTAATCTGACAGTCTCGTTGAAGTTAATTCAGAAAAAATAATTTCGGACTCAAAGGATTAATTTAATATTATTCATTCTCTTCTGCTCAGAGTTGTCGATCGTTTTTAGGAATGGCGGGGACCGGGGGGACAAAAAATTTGGGAGAAAGTCAATTTTTTTTTAAACTTTTAACTCGTCAAGAAATCATTTAAGAACAACAAAAAGGATGATCATGTTCTTCAAAAAGCAAAGACACTTTTAAATATATTTAAACTTTTGAAAAAATAAAGACATTTTAAAGTGCGAGTAACTTAAAAATTCAAGTGACTTTTTTGCTTTTGGTTACATCATTTGATAGAGGGTGAGCCGCTTATCACGAAAACTACTTTTTAGCGCCAACAAATGCTTTTTATCTAGGTCGAAAGCTACGAAAAACTTGAAAGACGTCGCGTTTTTCGAAAAAAATATCTTTTTCAAGATGTGCGAAATTTTCTGTTTCGTTCTTATCTTCACCTTCTGAAAACAATTTTTTCAGATTCAGCATAAAAAAATGAGTACAGGCAAGCTGTTATATCGACTCGAATCTCGAAAATGTTTTGACGATGATGCTTTGAATCATATCGAGTGCAATACGAATAGATCGATTTTGTAAACTTATCTAGTTTTTCTACGTAAGCGATAAAATCAAATATTTGATCACATTTAAGTCATCATACTACTAGTCGTAAAAGTCCGTATCGCGTTTGTTTTCTTTTCTTTGTCGAGAAAAACGTGCTTTTCTGAATTTTAGGCTAAACAGATAGAGTTTGGTCCGTATTTCTCCGTTTTCTTCATAAAAACTAAACTATCATGCAATCATCTTATTATATTCGGAAACAGCGCGAAAAACTAAATCGACTGATGTGTGTTTCGAAACATTTCGTTACCTTTCATTTTTTTTTGGTGAAAATTTTAGCCGGATCTTCATCTGAAAACTGGAAAAAAAATTGAAATTAACGGAAAATGTTAAATCATATATCAATAGATTTAGTTTTTCGCGCTGTTTTCGACAATGATAAAATGATTGCATAAAAGCTTAGTTTTTATGAAGAAAATGGAGACATATGGACCAAACTCTATCCTCTATTTAGCCCAAAAATTCAGAAAAGCAAGTTTTTCTCGACAAAGAAAAGAAAACAAACGCGATGTGGACTTTTGTGACTAGTAGTATGATGAGTTAGATGAGATAAAGTATTTGATTTCATCGTTTACGTAGACAAACTAGATAGGTTTACAAAATTGACTTATACGTACGCACTCGGCGCCATTTGAAGCGCCACCATCAAAAGAGTTTCACAGTTAGAGTCAATATGACACCTTGCCTGTACACAATTTTTGATGCTGAATCTGAAAAAATTATTTTAAGAAGCTGGAAAAAGAACGAAGTGGAAAATTCTGCACATTTTGAAAAAGATGTTTTTCGAAAAAGTGATAACCTTCAAGTTTTTCATATTTTTCGATCTGAAAGAAGCATTCGTTGGCGCTAAAGAGTACTTTTTCGTGATAAGCGGCTCGCGCTCTATCAGATGATTTTTAAAAAAAGTTCACTTGAAATTCGCATTGCCGGCACCTTATATATAATATTTATTGTTCACTGTCCCAATGACGAATGGGTTTGTTGAAATATACATTATTTTAAAGAAAAATAAGTTCAATTCACTTTTACACGTTGTATAGCCGAAAAAGAGTACATATAAGTTTTCTGCCAAAGAAAAGTACCCTGAAGTTGATTTTCTGTGAGAATTTTCCAAGAAATAGCTTCTTTATGCTATCTATCTATTTTTGCTAGAAACAGGGATAATATGACTCAACTGTTCGCATTGCTATCGCCAATCAATACGTATGCATGCATCGCGGAGTAGAGATCTTGAGAATTTCATCTTCTTATATTTTATTTATATATAGGTTGAACGAAAGCGAGAAAAAAATCTTTTTCAGCAGAGAAACGCAAAAAGACAGCGAAAAAAATTTGGCAGAAAGAATCCGAATTTATGCTAGGAAAAGCCCCATTTCTCCCCCTCCCCCTAATCGACAACTCTGTTCCGAAGCCGATAATAAGAATAAAGCAGAGAGTTTTGCACATCTTGAAAAAGATGTTTTTCGTATTTTTGGACCCGGAAAAAAGCATTTTTCAACGCTAAAAAGTGGTTTTTCGTGAGCAGCGACCCACGCTCTATCAAATGACGTAAAAAAAGACAAAAAAATCACTTCAAGTTTTGAATTGCCTGAACTTTAAAATGTCTTTATGTTTTCAAAAGTTTAAATATATATGGAAGTATCTTTGCTTTTTGAAGAACATGATTTTGTTTGTTCCTCTTAAATGATTTCTTGATAAGCTAAAAGATGTAAAAAGAAATTGACTTTCTCCGAAATTTTTAGTTCACCGGCCCCCGCCACTCCCAGAAACAATCGACAACTCTGAACGTAACAGAAAAATGCAGAACAAACTACTGCCAGATGCATTCGAATCCATTCACTATTATATCTTTTTATCAATTATTTCACTGTTACCATATGTACTTAGACTATAGTTCTACCCCAAATTAATCTCTTTTTTCTTACATTTCGGCTACAGACAAATAAATTTTCATTAATGTTCCAAGATTTCATTTGATGAATAACAAATTATTAATTTCACCTACACCCAGACATATTCGTTGGTCAGTATTGTGCAACGAATTATATAAATTAAATGATATCTAGTTCGTCTAATAACTAACTATCTCTATGAATATAAGTTGTCGTTTGACGGTTTAGAAAATATGTTCTTCTTTGAAAAAATGATATTTTTGTATCCCTTTCCATCAACAGGACAAACGGAACTAACCGGGATTTTACCAGACAATTCGAAAATAATTCGGTTTACGAAAAAGTTTGTTCATAGGTAGAAAAAATTTCTTCTTTTTTTTATCAAATAATAAACTATGCTTGTTGTGAAACAATGCTGTAGCATTTCGATGAGACGTTAATTAAAAGTATTTGCTAGATTTATTTTTGTTCTTCATTCCTAGATGGTGTATATATATATATACATATGGGGGTGGTCAATTTGACTGGTCCCCGTTTTCATACAGTCCTATTGTACAGGTAAAACCTACTATTGTCCGGGCCATATATTAGAGGATCCTATATAACCCNTTCTAATTGATGACGCATTAATACTATTGGATGAGTTAATGATAATGTTGGAAGACGAATAGATTCACGAGACCATTTTCTTGAACCGATCTAAATAATTTTAAAATATCTATCACATTTATATATGAAAAAAAAATATTAGCGTAATCTATTTAATACATTGTATAGCAAGATTTATTTTGAAAAAACTGAATAAGATAGTTTTCAATTCTCGAGAGCTATTTTTTAACAATGTCATTATAAAGAGAATAACATGAGAAATCAATGCATTTTCTACGATCTTCTCTTAAAAAATTATAAACATTACAAAAAACTGAAAAAAAAGAGGCGTTTTTCACTCGATATTTTGATAAGTTCTGTTCTTTGTGATACTTTTAACTTTTTACGGGAAGGTTGAAAAAACTACAGCGCGTCCTCATTTTGTTCTCTTAAAAATGTCATTGTTATAAAATAGTCTTTTGAGATTTGAAAACAACCGTGTCTATTTTCTTTTTCGAGATCTTACTATTTAATAAAAAACTTCATTAGATATTAAAGTCACTATCTTGTTACTAACCATAGGGAGATTATTTTCTTCTCTCTAATTTGTTCACTATCTTTTTTAGTTAATCCTCCAGAAATGTAATAAGTGTGAGACGCCCTTGACATACCGTGTGTGATGATAGAGGAAGAGAGCATTGCTGATATGTCTGTCACAGAGATCTCAATGAATTAGAATGAACCTTGAATAAGATATAAACTTCAAAAGATTTCTGCAATGAACATTAAATATATAAAACTAAGCAAAGAAGAAGTTTTCTTTCTATTGAAGAGAATATCCTTGCCTAGTTCATTTCGTTCGAGGCTTTTCAATCATAAATTCTTCAACTATCCTTGCTATTTCATCATCACATAGAAAACAGTTAACATCAAAATAAATTAAATTTCTTTTGAAAGAACAACCATCGACATATGCTCTTATTAAAAATGAAAACAAAATGTTTTTGTGTTAGAAAATTTTCGTTTTTGCAACTTGTCAATAAGTTACTGAACATTTGTTTATATATCAATTATGGGTGCTCGAAGTATGCTTGTATTCAATGAAATAGGATGAGAGATCCATGGATTGAATCGATTATCTTCGATCTGTCATTGTCTGTGGCGCATAGAGATTCAAATCTCTTCTCGTATCTTCCAATATACTATTTAGATGGTACTTCAATAAGAAAAAATACCGATGATTCTATTTAATAGAATAGTGAAATTTGAAGATAATATGAAAAATGAAAAATCGGAAATGTTTTTTTTTTTTTCTTTTATTATTGATTCTAATAGAATAAAATTACCTGTAATAATTTTGAATCAATTTTAAAATCAATTTCAATTGATTCAATATTCCATCCAGTTGTTTCTTGATAAATTTGTTTAATATGATCTTGATCTTTTTTAGTTCTCATACGTTTAATATAAATTAAATAAAAAGCTTTATATTTATTTTGATTATTTTGATCAAACATTTGACACCATTTTAATAAATCACGTAAATTAAAATCCCATTGATTATTATTAAATTCTTGTTGAAGTTTTTCATTAAAATTTAACATTTTATCAATAATATCTTCGGAAATATTTTCATATAATTGTTGACATATTATTTTTAAATCAATTCTTTCAAGTAATGAAAAATAAATTATTGTAAAACGATTTAAAAATGATTTAGGTAAACCTTTTCGTCCACTAACTTGTCCATAAGGATTTTGACAAGCAAATATACGTAATGGTATATGTGTTTCTTTATCATGAATATAAAATGTTCGATTTAATTCTGGTATATAAATTTCACCTCGATGATCTAAACATGCATTTAATCCTTCTAATACTGATTGATTTGCTAAATTAAGCTAAAAAAAAAATAAAAATAAAAATTTTATAAATTCTTTAATATTTCTCTTTATTATATATATATTAAATTTCGTATTAATATGTATTGGTAATGAATGTAGAAGAAGAAAAAAGATAAGCACGTAAATCCTTATCTCTGACATTATAATCAATGAGAATAAATTATAATTCATGATTTACTTCAATTTTATGATTATCGAATTTTACTAATCATTTTCAACAAAAGAATTTTTCGAATGAAAAATTCCGAGATATTATTGTAGAGAATGTCATATATTACGAGAGAAAATCGCTCGAAGCAATCAATCACTTTGAAGTCTTTATTTCCGTCATCGATAAGAGATCGTAAGATTAGAATATTTTTTTCAATACATCGTGTGTATGTTGTCGTTATAATCAGTTTCTTTATTCATAGAAAGCATTGTCAAAAAAAGAAAAAACCTTTGATTAACGTATCTATGCTATGGGAAATAGTTGGTTTTTGAAAAAGCCAATATCTATTGAAAAAGACAGATGTAATTTTGTTGAGACTTTCGAAATAACTTGCTATTCACTACGACAATTTTCTAAATTAGTTATATTTTTTTTGAAAAAGTTTTGATATAGACCAGAAACTTATTACAAAAATTAGTCGTAGCGCAAGGTCAAAAAGTAAAATATCGGAAAGTAAAAATAGCGAAGTACACTGTGAGTAAACAATAGATCAGTATTCTCATCGTCGAAATATGAGAAAATTGTAATTTTTTAGTAAGACTAGCACAAAAAATAAGTGTAAGCATTTTTTTGAGTAATATATTTGATTATAGTCTATACTTGTGCTAAGCAACAAAAGTTTCCTAAGACTTCATTGAATATTCAGAAAAACGCATATTGTATAGTTTAGTCTCTGCTAATTATAAAATTGACCTTTCTCGTTGAAAAGACTCGAATTATTTTTTTTCGCTTCAGATAAAAAATGAGTAATTAGAAACAGTATGTAATAGTCAGATTTATTTATCGCATTCGGTTGAGTTAACTTACGCTTGAAAAGAAATATTTTTAGATCGATCCAATTAAAAATATTTGTGAAATAAATATTATTCGACATTTTTTTTTCTCAAAAAAACATATCACTCTACGAAGTGAATATAATGATTTATATTTAGCAAGTCCTATCATTTTTTTTTTTTTGCTCTATCATAAAGCTTATAATTCTTACCAGTATGTTACTACAAAGAGTTCTCTCGTTGTTAATATGACCTATATGCGCTGCTAGTTCGATTACAAGAAGAACTAAAATTGAATCTGTGTCATTGAGTAGAAAAAATATATTAGTATTTGTCAAACAATGTGAACGTTTGACGAGCAAATAAGGAAAAAAATAAAAATTCAAATAAATTATGACATAGCATCGAACGCTGTAGAAATTGATCTATTAATATTCGCTTTTTCTTGTTTTATTACAATCAAATAATTTCCTGTTCTTTGCACATGTCAACAAAAAATGATGTTTTCCTGTAATATATTTCTCATAAATCAGCAACCATCTGAAGTAGAAAACTGAAATATGATATGAAATAATCAGAGAGAAATAATATGCGAAAAAAAAAAAAAACTCGTTCAAATCTGTTCAGTGAAACAAACATAATTTACTAAAAACTAGATAAAATTTCAATCGTAACAAAAAAACTTGTCTATTTTCTCATATATATGATAAATATTCATAATGACTGAACATAAGAAATAGTTGATGAGGTACATAATCAAATAAAAAAGTTACATTCATACTCTATTAGATACATCACTTATTGTTCTATATTTTCTCGTTTAAATATTTTTCGTTTCAGTTTTTTTCTAACATATAAATATAATGATTATAATTGAAAAAGTCGAAATGATAAGTGTGAATAATTTCATAGATATTCTATTTTGAAGATCTCTTGTCTATGATAGAAATAGATATTTCAATATGATTAATTAGTTTGGTTGGTTAATGAAAATTGAATTTTTTTTTTTATTGTCAATAAGAAGTTTCTTTTTTAGTTTCGATGTCATTTAAAAAGTAAAACAACTTACTTCATCAAGAATAATCCATTGATTATTTTTTATTGCTGTTAATAAAGGTCCATCATGCCATTTAAATTGTCCAGCTTTTCCACTTTCAATATCTGGTAAATCAGATCCAAATAAATCACTTATATCGGTTTGTTCTGATAAATTAATTCTTATATAAGAATAACCAGCTAATCTAGCTAATGCAATAACTAAACTTGTTTTTCCAACACCAGGACTACCTTCAATTAATATTGGTTTATTTGTTAATTGCATTGCACGTAAAAGTCTTTGAACATTTAATAATGTTGTTGGTGCTTTAAAACTATATTCTTCATTATCATTATAAATAAATGAACCACGTAATATTGAATATGAACCAAATGTTAATAAATTTGATTTAATATTTATTGTTTCAGATAATATTCTTTTTTGTTTTTGTTGATTTATTAAATAATCTATTGTTAATGGTTTTAATGTTGATGATGAATCCATAGCATCAATAAATACTAAATAAGCACCATGTTCATATGAATATTCCCAATTTTCTGGATTTAAATTTATAAATAATATCCAACTAAGAATATCTCGAACAGTTATTAAAATACTATAAAAAAAAAACAATATAAAATTTATATTATGATATGTTTCTTTTGTTGTTTTTTTTTTTATTGAATATCGCGACTGTAAAAAAATGTTTTCGATGTAATACTATATGATAAAATGTTGTTCTTTTTTCTTCAAAAGATGCATCATTGAATGTTCTGTTCAGATCATAAGATCAAATTTTAATAGACCAGTAACATTGAACATGTGTATCGTCATGTTATTTTCCATAAGGAAAATTTCATTTTATAATTGACAACTAAGGTCATTTTTAATCAAATTAATATTAGATCAAATGAACTATTCCAGGCAGTGTAAAAAAAAAAAAAAGACCAAAACGTTAATCATTCCGACAGTACTTCCTACGAGATGAGTACTAATTTCTTTTCAACATATAATCATCATCTTCAATTGATGAAGATAATGAAACCGGTATCGGTCGTTACTGATGTATCTTATTTAGCTTTTTACTCTTAGTATTTCATAGAGAATATGTAATGAAACTTTGTTGAAAGTTGACTATGTCAAATATCATTATTCACAAATGAAGTAGCACGATAACTTGTCAGTCTTGTGCCTGTAAGAATTTTTGATTGGTTCTATCTCTGAGTTGAAGACAAATTCTCATTATGTTATTTTGTTAAGCCCCCCCCCCCCCCTCCCTCAAAAATCAATCTCAGCCTAGGAACATCCAAATTAGATGAAACTTTCAGAGTATGTTGGGACTAGAAAGAAGAGACTACCATAAAATTTTCAGCCCAAAATCTTCAGGTTTCAGGGAGATATGAGCCAAACAAGGGTCAAAAGTGACTCATTTGGCATCCCAAATTTCTCGGTCCTGGTTCGTTCAATGACTGAAAAAAGTGTCAAAAAATGGTAACCAATTCATATAACTGGCTGTATATTGACCAAACAAAGGCTTAACTTTAAAAAGCGGTCTCCGTGTACCCTGCGCCTTAAGATGCTCTTTTAAACAAAAAAAAAAATATTAACATATTGAACGAACTAGGAAGGAGAAATTTGGGATGCGCTTTTGAGAAAATGGAAACTGAGAAAAAACGAAAGACATTTTTTGATTTTTCAAAAAACAGCTGGTTTTTCGAATAGGGATTGACGGAAATCTTGAACATTTTTTGGGAAAATGAAGTAACGAGAAAAACAACTTATCGCTTATGAAAGAGCAGATGATGGGCTATCCCCGCATGTATTTATCTCAATTTCGGAATTTTTGACGAAAACGACTTGTTTTGAAGGGGAGGGGGGCTTAAGCTTAATTTTTGTTTCTACTAAATCTATGTAGCGTTTTGTACATCAAGCTTACTAATTTTAGACAATATTTTTGAGAAGAACATAACAAAAACAAATATTCTATTTCGACATTCAGATCAATGAACATAGACATTTTCTTTTTCTCTTGTATTTGAAATGAAGATAACTAATAACCATCATGCTTTGAAAATTACATAAGGTTTCAAAATATTATAGCCAAAATAAATGAACATTAATTATTAAAGCTGAAATTAAACAATTTTCAATTTTCTCTTATTTATCTTTATGGAAAATAATAGAATGATACACTTTTTCAGTGTCAATGTTCTATTAAAATAACTATAAAGATTTAGTTTTATAATTCGAGTGAAACATTCAATGACGCATCTTTTGAAAGAAAAAAAAAGATGAATATTTCTGAAGGATATTACATGTCAAACAAAAGAAAATCTTGTAAAAATTTTATTTTTACCGTTTTGTTGTTGTTGAAATAGTTCGAAGATATTGAATAAAATCACACATCATTTTTGTACATTCTTTTTGTTGATTTTCATCATTTAATTTTAAATTATGTATTATAATTGAATATAAATCGTCAATAGATTCACTTGGTGTACACCAAATTTCTGTAAAACGATTACGTAATGCTGGTGAAAGCTAAAGAAGAAAAAAAAAAAAAAAAAATATTAAATAAAAACAAATTTTAATCGAACTTCTTTTTTTCCAAAATCTCCACCAGGATTCATTGTTGCAATTAAACGAAATTTTTCATGTGCTTTAATAATATCAATATGTTGATCATCATCATTATAACCTTTTTCAGCTAAAACTAATTCTTTTTCAGGTTCTAAAACACTATTTAATCGTTCAAGAACACTATCATCAGCTAATGATATTTCATCAATAAGAAAAAGTCCACCTTGTTTCATTGAACATACTAATGCACCATCTTGCCATTCAAATAAACCTTGATTTTCATCAGATGTATGACTTTGATCATGACGACGAACAGGACGTATACTACCAATAAAATCAGCACTTTCAGTTGTTGTATGACAATTAATCGTAAATAATTTTTGTTGATTTATTTGTGAAAGAATTTCACATACAGTAGTTTTACCACATCTGAAAAAAAAAATAATAATATTTAAAAATTGATAATAAAGAAACAAAAAAGTCTAACCCAGTTTCTCCAACTAATAAAGCTGGTTCATCAAATTGTATAGATAAAGCACAAAGAATAGCTAATCGTCTTAATGGTTGTGTCCAAACAATATGTTTTAATTGATTATTATTTTTAATTAATATCCATATTTGTCTAGTTGAATAAGGACTACCTTGATCACCAAATAAAATTTGTTCATCAATAGAAATTTTTTTATCACAAAAATATTTTTCAATAATTTTTTTAATAAAAATTCTATCATCATTATTTCTTGATCTACCAGCTAATAATAAATAACCATGTTCAGCTAAAAATTGTTTATAATTATCACATGAATATTTATATAATGTATAACGTTGTGCCCAACGAAATAAATCTCTTAATGTAATTAAACTTGATTTACCAAAAAAAATTCCTTTTTGTGAACGATATTTTTGTAAATCAATCATTGTTTGTATTAATAATTTTGAATATGTTTTAGGTAATTGACATTTTTTTTCAATTATTATTTCTAATTCATTTTGTGGTAAATTATTAAAATGTAATTCAATAAAACGATTACGAAATGCACGTGATAAACGTTTACGTCCAGCATATTGTTCACCAGCAGGATTTTGTGTTGCAAATAATTGAAAACGTTCATGGGCATTTATTAATTCATTTGTTTCACTTAAATATAATTGTCTATTATCATCTAATAAACGATTTAATGCTTCTAATATATCACTTGATGCTAAATTTAATTCATCAAGTATTATCCACCAACCATAACGCATTGCTTTTATTAATGGACCATCTTGAAATATTAATTGTCCATTTGTTGATGAACATGTATATGTACCAAGATATTCCGATAAATCAGTATGTTCATGATTATTTATACGTAAACATTTATTTCCTGTTGCTGATGCTAACCAATTAATTAATGAAGTTTTACCAACAGATGTTTCACCTTGAAGAAGAATTGGATAAGATTTAGCTGATAAAACACGAATTATATTTATTAAATTTTCATTGACAGTTTCAGTAAATATATAATTTTCATTTTGATAAAGTGTTTGATCACCTTTTAAAATTAAATAATTTTTTAATTCAATATATTTTTTAGAATTTTCTTTTGAAACAATCATTTGACTAGATTTTAATAAACTTTCAATTGATGGTTTTTCTTCTAAACGAGACAAAAAATAAACATAAAAAAATTTTATTTGAGAATAATAAAAAAAAAGAATTTTTTTTTTTTTTTTTTTGTTCAAGTTTATCATCTCTTTTATAGCAAATTTCAATAAGATTAAGAAATATTTCAAAGAATTCAAATCAAAGAGTTCGAACCATTTTTTAATGAAAGTACTTCAGCAATACATAATGATCTTAATGTTAATTTATTAAAATCTTGTCCTTTTTGGGAACAATAAAAATTTTTTAAATATTAGAACTCGTCATATTATTTTTCAAAATAACAGACAATTAAGTTTCGATAACATATTATATTTCAACAATATTTTTCAATAAAAATCATGTAGCTTGTTCAAGGTTATTCCACTATTGGTAGTACTAAGATTTCAACACAATATCTTGTGAATACATGTCAAATATCGTAGTTATTCAGTCATCGCGGCGTATTCAATATAGATTTATTATCTCGTTTTGTTATCTTAATTCAAACAAATGGAGATACTGATTATATGTTACTAATTGAAGCATGTATGATATTTATGAAAAACAAAGATTTATTTAATCCTTGTTTTATAACGTACAAGTTAAAATAAGATCAAAGCTCGTAAGAATAGTAGGAAAGAAATAATTGATTGTGTCGATGTGATTTATTCTTGCATGCTATTGTTTATATAGTTCCAGGAAGTGAACCAAAATCCGTTGATGTCGATGTAATGTCTTCAAACTAGCATTGACAATGATGAAATTTTGTTCACGTGGTTCTTTTTTTCTTTTGATTTACTTCATGGAACCTTTTTCTATACGTTCAATCAAAATAAGAACGAATTCTACATGAATAACAGAACATAAGAGTGAATCATATTGACTATTGATGATTGATTTTCTCCTTCCTCTAATTTTCATACGAAGTCTTAGAATTATTTTAACTTGACCATTCCACAAGAAGAAAGATTAAACAAATATGAATATTTCAAGAATATCATACATGTTTTGACTAGTAAGATATAATCAGTATTGTCATTTATTTCAATTAAGATAACACAATGAGATAATAAATCTATCTTGAATGTTATTAGGTTTTATTAAAAAATATTGTTGAAATGTTATATGTTATCTAAACTTGATTGTCTATTAATTTCCAGAAGACCATTATGAGTTTTGAGAAATTTTTTATTCAGAAAAGAGATAAAATTTTAATGAATCGATATCAAGGTAGTTGTATACTAATGAAATACTTTCATTTTACAATGTTTTCAGAGTGCAGAAAAAATGACAAATTTTAGTTAAGTCCTTTTGATTGAGAACAACATATTTTCAATAAATTCAAAACAAAAAGTTGCAGACTTGAATTTCGGCTACAGATACAATGGATAATGATGGGAATTTCAACGAAGATGAATGTGTCTTTTTTTTTTTTAGATATTCAATTTCAAAGTAAACTCAAAACTCTTTATTTTTCAGAAATTCTTTGCTCTCAGTCAAAAATTTAATTAATATAGTTATAATCCAAACAGTGAAGAATTTATGAAAACACGTTTAAATATGCTAATTGTGCAGATAAAAAGATTGTTTATGTGTGGTGCATGTGAAAAATATCATAAGAACACTTTTTCGATGTTTACCAGATGCCAAATTTTCCTTTTTTAAGAGTCCAACAGTTGGACACATTCCCAAGGAAGTAAAAATCAATTTATTTAAAGTATTACTCATCTCTGGATTACAATTGTTTCTAAATCGAATTGAATTCTTGGTCTACTTTGACTATTCATTTATTAGAAGTAATTTAAACTCATGAAATTTTAGGTTTAATAGAAAATAAAATTTAAGAAAAAAAAATAATCAAATAAAAAACTCGATTTGAATTAAATGAGATGATAATTCTGATTTTCTCTTCGAAACTTACGTAATATAATTTGATGAATAAGTTTTTGAACATCATGATAATAAGATCGATCTAATTGACTAAAAAAACTCAAACAAAAACCCTAAAAAAAAATAATAATATTTTAAAAAAAAAAAAATCTTTAAAATTTGTTTACTTCAAATAAAGCTCGAAAATATGATTTTCCGGACCATTGTGTTGTTGCAACATATCTCAATGCACGACATAAAGTTCTTAAACTAAAACAGAAAAAAAAAACAAGTTCTTTGTTTTTCTTCTAGAAATAAAAATGAAAAATTATATAAACCTATAAGTAATTGATATTCTATTTGTTGAAGTTGATGATGAAGTTAATAGAAAATTTTTAACTTTAGTTTGAATATCAATATAAAATGTAACAATACGATCAATATATTCTTTTGGTATATTTGTTTGATTAAGATATTTATCAACAATAATTATATATTCCGATCGTTCATCACATTCATCAACAAATAATTCCGTAAATCTATTTTAATTTCAAAAAACAAATTTATTTTATCATCATAAAAATTTTCAAAATAAAATCAACAAACCGATTTCGAATACCAATTGGAATATCTCGTTTACCAACATCTGATGCAGGATTCATACAACCAAATAAACGAAAATTTTCATGACGAACAATTGGTTGTTTATCACTAGAAAAGAAAAAACGAACGAATAATTAATTTTTTTTTTTTTTGTTTGTTTTACCCTCGTTCAGCAAGCCAAATAGTTCCTTGTTCACTTTCAAGTATTCCACTAAGTAATTGAAGAGTTTCTGATGAAGCTAAATTAATTTCATCTAATAAAATCCAATCACCATTACGTAATGCTTGAACAAGTGAACCCTATTTAGAACAAAAAGCAAAATTTTTATTTTTGTGATTTGTTTTTTTTTTTTTTTACTTCAACAAATCGAAAAATAAGTGCAGATTTATTTTTTGCTTTAAATGATTCACGTAATTTAATAAGTTGATTTTTTAATGGAGAATTTTTATCTGTATATTTAATCATTAATTTAATAGCTTCTTTATATCGTTTTGATTGAATTGATTTCTAAAAAACAAAAAAAAAAAAACGATTATTTATTATTATTTAAAAATATTTTTACTTGAATTTCTTCAATATGATCATTTGTTGTTTGTTCAATTGAAAAATCTCGATAAATTTGTTTTAATAATAATACTGAATCAAATGGTTTATAACCACCAAGTAAATCAACGGCATCACTTTGTTGACTTAAATTAATTACATGAAGACGATTTCCTAACAGAATTATATTTATTATTATTAATTCTTCAAAATTATTTATTAATATTATAACTGAATAATATATATTAGATGTTATCTTGTGTTTTTTTTAGAATTAAACTACTTACAGCCACTAACAAAAGTAATGACATAGTTCTACTTCAATATCGTATAGAAAAGCTGATGAATCTTTCTTTCTATATACAATGAATGAAGATGCGCGGGACCAAGCTGTTTTGCATCCGGTTCCGATTAAGTTCCGGCAACTCCCTTTCTACTAGTCTCGATTCCGGTAAATTCTTTTCTCGTAATCTCGGTCTCAATCAAGAGAAAAATATTTAAGGATTTATTCGTTCTTTTTTTATTATTTATTTACTCGATAACTAATATTTTTCTTTTGGATCGTCGTCCTTGAATTGTCTTCTTATTCATACAAAAATGTATTTAAAGTCATTGACTTTTTTACTATAGAATTGAGTTCCGGTCCTCGGCTAATTTTTTTCTCATAATTCCACATATATCTATTGCTAATAATAAAACTAATGTTTTTTATTTGATCATTCTTACTATAGAATCATAATAAGGAAATTCTGACAAAAATTGTTTGCTATAATATGTGATGATGATACTTTTAAGTATTTTGAATAATTATTAAACGAACAATAATAGAGAGTTGTGAATTTCATCATTAGAAAAAAATAAATGCGAAAACCTCGGATTTTAATCCGAGTGTTATGTGTACTTCAAAAAGTGAAAAGGTATATTCACTGTGTTTTTTATCACTAAATTGCAAGGAGAAAATACAGGCGTGCTAAGTTAGCATGGACCACACTGTATGTGACCCTATCCGGTGACCACTGACTCTACTCTCAGAGTGATATTATATCTTTAGAAATCACAGGAATTGAGTTCAGATTCGTGTTTAGCTTGGAAAACTGGGTAAGAAGAGTTATTTTTGAAT